TGTGTGTGTGTGTGTGTGTGTGTGTGTGTGTGTGCGCGCGCGCGCGCGTGCGTGCGTGCGTGCGTGCGCGTGTGTGCGTGTGTACGAGCGTTTTTCACCAGACAAGGTTAATGATAGAGCTGTCACCAGCCCTGACTGTCGTCCACTGAGTGAATGTGAACCCCACACAAACATCCATTACACAGCGTCAGTGTTGATCCCATCTGTCTTCCAGCCCGCACTCCATCTTTCCTGAGCTTCACTCTGTCTTCGTGTCCACTCTCCATCTTCACACACTCACTCCATCACCCTCTGGGCCACCTACAACATGTTCCTGCTCAAAATCAAAAGCCTTGAGTTTATGATAGATACTGCCTATTTTTGGTATTGACTTAGTTTGTGTTGTTTATGCTGTGCAATGACAAATGTGAGGTGTATATATGTTTTGGATTTTGGTGTTAATATTTCTTTTCTCCTCTTTTCATTTGCCTCTACGCCTCCAGCTGAGACACCTGGGTAATGACGAGGTCCACATCGTCTGGTCGGAACATTCCAGAGACTACCGTCGAGGAATCATCCCCACTGAGTTTGGAGATGTGCTAATCATCATCTACCCCATGAAGAACCACATGTACTCCATCCATATTCTCAAAAAACCTGAGGTAGGAAGAATGTGCAGCATTTTGATACTGGACTCAAACTGCCAGTTGTCAATATTTTGTGCAATTACTCAGCAGCTACGAACACATTTCAGTGTTTCCTCAGAATCCTTATTATTGAGTGAAAATGCCTCTGAAACAGCAAGACACTCATTAAATCCTGGGATTATAATTCAGCCTCCCTCTGGGCTAATCGCTCATAACTATACACGTAACACATTGTGGAAAGGTAATGGTAGTAGGAATCGTTGGCCAATCAGTGTAATTTTTAGCCATGCTAGTGACTTGGCTCTATGGATGTTGGTTGGTTGCTTGGCTGGTCCTCTCACGTCAACCCGACTTGCATAATAAACATTCAATAGGTTTTGTTTGGTTTAATGATACTAAGTTTGATGATCCCCTGGTGTTTCCTGTAGCAAGTACTCATGCTGGTCAGAGCTGGTTCACCTTGCAAACCTTTTCAGAACCAGTTTGCTCTTCTGTTGGCTAGAGCCACATCATTACGTCACCATATATGTCACTGTCTACTTCTCTGATTTCCCAGCAACAAGCTAGGGTTGGGCGATTGGACAAATATATCATTAATCATTGATTGGCTGAGCCCATCACCAGTGGGGGGGTTTCTGGGCTGTTTGGGTGATTTGACATTTTATTTGGCTAAAATAAGGATCTGCCTCATCACATCAAACTGAAATTAACCTAGAAGAAAATTAACCTACAAACGGACACTTATTATATATTATATGAATCTCTCTCTATCTGTCATTATAGTTAAGACATGTACATGTGGACATAATGCAATTGAGATCAGAATAGGCCACATGTTTTAATTTGTGAATTGCTTCAGCCTTTCCCAGAGAATTAATTCAATCTATGGTGGTAACGGGGGTGTACTTGCATGAAGGTCACTGTCCCGTAACTGATTATGAAAAAAACAAGTTCCTGTGTGAAAAAAAGAAAGAACTGCATAACATAACACAACTGCAGCTGAATCTATGAGGTCTGACTGTATGCGTGGATGCAGGTGCAGTAGCGCTGCACACATCAAGTTGGAGATTATGATTATTATTATGAAAAGGGTAAAAAAGTTTTTGCTCATTGTGAAACTGTGGTGAGAAAAATTAGAATATGGTGCGCGGCTAGATCATTAATGGGAAACTTTGTGCTTCTTCTGAGCTAGACTTTATTAGGTTAAGGTACTCAGAAAAAAATGCTATTTACATGGCAGTATCTTATTCAGACTATTGTATCAATCTGTAGTATCAAAATATTTGTGGCCAAGTAGAAGTTTAAACTTACTGTGAATCTGGGGAAAAAAATCTGTTAACGGGGTTGCAACTTGTGTGCAGAGGAACAAATGCACAGAGACCGATCAGTTGTCCAAATGGTTTACAATCTCACAGGGGACAGTCTAATGTCACACGTGATGAGTTACAGAGATTTCAGATTTAGGACATGCTTAATTTAACTTTTTAATTTTATTCTACAAACCATTTAAATTGTTTATAAAATATCTGAGAAAAACCTTTCCTCAAGTTGGAAAGGCTATGTCATGCGATTGAAAGATCCAGTTAAGGCTTTCATAAAACTTTTTTGACAAATGGGGCCAAACATTCTGAAATCCAAAGATTTATCCAGGTTAATTATTTAATTGATGGAAATCATTAATGTGGAATCACAGAAAAGGCTCTGCTTTTAATCAGTTTTGTTGCCAGTGAATTTGCCTCATCAAATTGTATGATTAAGCTCTAGATAATACATCTGTATTGTGTATGCATGTATTTAGAGAGTCTATGAGTTGAGTAGCAATAAAAGTTGAAACATGCAGACAGTGTTTTGGTTCATAATTTCTTGTTTCCTACCAGACTACCCAGATGTACACAGATATGCATCCAGATTGGCTAACAATCCTAGAGAGAGTCTTGCCCTGAGTCTTGTTGCTCTGTTTAATGTATCGGTCTAAAACACACAGACATTAATACAACAGCAATGATATCATAACTCTATTTTAAACAAGAGCTAACACAATAAAATGCTACTTTTTTCTCTATGACATAGATACCACAGCACTAATAACATAACCTTATTCCGTTTCATTCATTCTACAAGCAAAAATATTGAATTATCATGAATCCAAAAACAAGTTAGATAAGATATTCTCTGTGTTGTCGTCCTGAAAGCGCTGTGTTCAGTCACAGAGTGCATGGCTCGGAGACCTGGTCTGCAAATAAATTCAATAAAAAGTCTGACATTATTCTCTTGGTGGATTCCACAAGCAAAGCAGTGAATCAAATCAGAAAACCATTGCCTCAAACAGTATGTCATTAACAGAAAACCGCCTTGTCAGTCATTACTTGTCAGGCCAGAGAATGTTTTACTTCATAAAATATCTTGACTTTTATGTCTTTGAAAGGTTTTATGTTTGCAGGAAGTTCAATTCTTAACTACAAATTAAACAAAAACTCTTTATTTTTGACTCTAGGTGCCGTTCTTTGGTCCACTCTTTGACGGGGCCATAGTGGACATGAAGATCTTGCCCACCATGGTCAGAGCCACAGCCATCAATGCCAGTCGAGCTCTCAAGTCCCTCATTCCTCTCTACCAGAACTTGTATCCTTTGAAAATCCGAAACTCAGAATATACAAAATCAGGATCAGAGGCTAAAGGTATGTAATATGAACCTTTATTCGCCATTTTTTGTGCTCTTGGCTTCATTTCTGTCCGCACGTTGACATGTGTCAAGTTCTTTAAAAAGTTTGTCGGCTTTGTTCATTATTCAGTTTTCGTTCATTCATTTATTTATTTCAAACATGTTACAACAATAAATAGTAAGAAAGTAGCGTTTCCCACAGAATGAATTCAATCCATGGTAGTAACTGGGGTGCATATGCATGGACAGTGAAAGTATTATGGACAGCATGTCTCTTTTCTTCAGTTGTTCCATATTTTACCTCCTTTGATTTTGATGCAAAGATATATTTTAGCATTTGTCCTTGCTTACTGTTTTTTCAACATACATACACCATTCCTTTCAAGTTTCTAGGTCTTTCTGATTTGCCTGCCAACTTTATGTTGTTAGAATATATCTGTGCTGCTGTGGAAGCTAATGTGCGTGTGAGCGTGAATGTTGGTTATCATTGAGCTCAAGTGTGAAGAATAGCAAATCAATGTCCAGCGGCTTTTTCGGCTTTCATAGTATAAGTGCTAGTGTGATGGTGTGACATGTTTAGCTGGCTCTGGAGTGCTACATATATCATGGATGTGTGTGTTTGTTATGCGCAGCTACACATCTAAAGTTGGGATAGTGTGTGTGCAAGAGAGAGAGAGAGAGAGTGTGTGTGAAGAGAAACAGACAGGTGTGTATGTAGTCTTTCTGTTTGATCCCATGCAATCGTAGTCTGGTTGGAACAAGCCCAGCGGTCAATATTTATCGATGACTACTTTCTAACTCTGTTTCTAAATGAGGGGTTTTGCTCTCTGCTCTTACACACAGATACTCATGCACACACAAATACGCACTGTCTTTATCCACATGGAGGATTACATTTAAATGGACACCGTTGAAGTATAATAACACATGTACATTCATGTTAAGCAAATATTTTCAATCATTGATTTCTTGATCATAAAGCATGTGAACAGGGGATTGTTTTCATATTTGAATCCTACATTGATTCAATTTGTATTTGGCTCTTTTTCTTCACTGCCTTTATTTGCATTTTGCTACGTTCCTTGGTGCACCGTCGCCACTACCTGTTGTTAAGTTGAAACTGACAGCAGGATTTAAACCATACAGCTTTGACCTTTGTGAATGGCCCAACAGTCCATCTTATGAAACCACATTCACAAATCTGGATCTGCACCAAATTGCACACAATATCAGTCAAATGTAAATATGCCTTTATCTGCCCCTTGGTCCGGATTCGCACCAAGATTTGACGGTTTCTTCCACCAAGTTTCATGGTAATCCGTTTTTTGAATTCAGCCTAACGTACACACAGACATAGAGACGCTTGCACTCTAATATATAGGTGTGTGTGAGACTGCTAAATATTTGGTATCATGACATCCCTGCTCAGTGGTTTGCAAAACTCGACCAAGGCCAATCAATCCTACGCACTACGTCTTATAATAATAATAAAAAGTAGTCTGATAAGCTGCTTCAAAATGATCATTGATCACATGTCTGATTTTTTACATCTTAATCTATTATTTCCTGAAAAACTGAAAAAATGCAGTGTTAGGAAAGTGATCTGCCCCACTAACCACCGCTCTTCCCTGGTCCATGTCTCCATCCAAGTTTGCTGCTAGTCAATTATCTACATTTAACATAACAAATGTTTACAAATGCTTACAAAGATTGAGAGCTGCTAATGACATTCAAGAGCAATAGCAGTCTGAGGAGGATCATCTGAGCATTGTGTCAGCAGGAGAAAGGCCTTCTCCATAACTGGTTCAGTCCCTCCAGTCAAGGATCAGACAGCAGCAACAAGTGGTCAAACACTGACAACTGCAATATCCTATACTAACTGTAGGGAGCTCACTGTGGTCACTTGCTATTCTACAACAATAATTAATCACACGGTCTAAACTTGCAATCACTCTATTCAGAGAGTGGCTGCTGACTCAAAGATGTAAATATCTAATCCACTTGTTCATTACAACCCACTCTTTTGAACGGTCATCCCTCCAATAAAACACAACTAGAATAACAATTTCATTTTTTTGTTTTTCTCACCCAATGTCCTCTCTTCTTGACTCCATTCTTTAAGTCATTACGTCACCTAAAGCTAAGTTTAATTCTCCTCTTTGTGTCCTCCCTTCTTCCTCTGTTCTCTTTGACCTTCTTTACCGCATCCCTCATCTCTCCTTCACCACCGTTCGTCTCATCACCTTCATGTTGCCTCTTGGCCCTCATCTCTTATTTCTCTGTCTGCCCTCGCACCCAACTTTTGTCATGCTCCCTTCTCTTTCTCCTCCCTCTCCTCCTTCTCTTCTCCTCCCCTACCTTCCCTCTGTTCAGAAAGACAATATGAGTGTTTGAGGTAATGCTCGCCAAGAAGTGGGGGGAAGGAGGAGGTTGGAGAAGCCATTTTGCTTTGCCTCGTCCACCTAGCGAGATGGAGAGATTGTTAGAGAGATTGCTCAGTGTGGGGCTCGAGCTCGTATCTAATTCCTCCCCGACCCCATTGTGTTTGAGCGTGCATGTGCACTTTCTTGCACATATACATGTTTCACCTTGTGTGTGTGCGTGCGTGTGCATTTTGTGATTCCAGCCATCATGAGTGAGTGTGCAGACATGTAGACAGCTCTACAGTTGTGTTTGTGCGTCTTGCTACATCTTTTGTGCACATCTGTGTGTGTCTGTGTGGCCGTGTACACAAGCCCGATGACACACCACGCATCCTCGTTCGGAGGTGTTTGAGTGTGTCTGTGAGTGTCCTGGTGTGTATTGATTGGTGGTAGCAGCAATTCGATGTCTCTGACAGGCTGAATTACAGTAATCAGTCATTATTGACTCCCCATCTCTCCACTACGCACACCTCTCCCCTCCCATTCTCTGCCTCCCCTCCTCTCCCTCCCTCCTCTGCCCTCTACTTCTGTGACACCTTTTTTCTTTCCTTTTCTCTCTCCGCCTCTGAATGTCCACCATAGCGTCCCTCTGTGTCTCGTTGTGCGCTCATTTTTTCTTCTCCTGTCTTGTGTCACTCCCTGCTGCTCATCATCATTTCTCTGTCTCTCTAATTCCGTCCCTGTATTTGCTCTTCTGTCTCTATAACTCCTTTATCTCAGGCCATCTCCGTTTCTCCTTCTATCTCTGTGTTATTGTCTGTTTTTCTTCTTTCTCAGATTTTTTTACATTTCTTTTTTCATTAAGTTGCTCAGATGTTTTCTTACTCATTTCTCTTCTTTACTGCTCATCCTCTCTAAACTCAATTATCATGATGTAATAAAAACTTTATCCTTATCTTGTGAACATTTTTAAGACAACCAAACAATCGATGATACAAGAGAATGCAACACAATTTTTGTTCAAGTTGTTACCCAGTAAAAACCCATCAATTTGAAGTCAAGCACAGGGAATCCAAACTTTTTGTGGGTTTGTGTCAAGTTCAGTCGTTTTGACTGGGTTATCTACTTTATACCACACATACCTTTAATCAGGGAAATCATCAGTTCAGACACAAAAAACAGAATACTTGTCAGGCTCAGCTAATTTACTCTTGGGCTTGGTCAGGTACAGATAGAAAATTGCAGCCTGAGCTGCGCTCTAGCCCAAACTACTAGATTTAAATGAAATAAGTAAATAATGATCTCATAGCAATGTTACATGTCAAGGTCTTGATTAGATTGTCAACATGTTGGATTTGTGAGAAATGGGCAGATGTGAAGTACTGAGCGACTGGAACAAGTCTAATCCACAGTCACCTTACAACAGGATCTGCTGCTACTGTCTTAGTGCCAGAGACCACAGGGAACCTTCAGGGGTCTTTCAGGGGTTTTTGAGTCTGACAGGCCAGAGCTGTTTTGGTGGTATGCAAGGGACCAATATCATATTAAGCAGGAGTGGTCGCAGTTTTTGGTTCATCATATGCAGAGCTTTTTTTTATCTCGTTCTGAAATAAGACCAGACATTCCTAGAGATCAGGGCCCATACAGCTCATGAGGATTAGATGCCCTTGTGTGTGAGGCCCCTCAAAAGAAGCATTGGGTTGTGTTGTCTGTGTTTCTGAGTGCTGCATTGTAACAGCAAGTGTCCCCACACACACACACACACACATACAGGGAAAAAGAGGAATGGAAGATGGTTGGCAGGGCTATGTGTGTCAGTGTCTTTCTCTCTGTCTCTCTGTCCTGCTCTATCTTTCTCTCTCTTTCTCCTGGCCCTCAGGGCGGTCCATCTGCCTTCTCTCTTTCTCTGATCTTTCATTCACCATGACTAGAGCCATCCAAAAGTGTGCGCGTACACACACACACACACACAGTGCCAGGCTGCTGTGTGTAAGCACAGATCTATCTCACATATCAGCTCATAGCAGGAAGAAAAGCAATCCAAGACTCTCTAGCACACACACACACACACACACACACACACACACACACACACACACAGCCCCCCTGTATATAGCTCTATAGCTGGGTAAGTTGAATGAACTGTTTGTGGATTCTACTTGATGCTGGGGAGCTAAAGTTAATTTGCTAGCTGCTTTCCTGAGATTTAAGGCACGTGTGTCACCAACACGGTGCAGGTGAATGAATGAATGATCAGACTTTAGGTCACTGCACCATCTGTGCTCACAGCAATCATGAAATTGGATGTCTTTTATGAATCTGCTACTGATAGTCCATGTGTAGCTCTATGGGACTCTACTTTTTGAAGTATGTTTAATGATGACGCACTTGAAACTTATGGAAGTTTTGTATCTTGCTCCACTGATTTACACATGTAGACCTAAAGCATACAGATCTTTTAACTGTTTTTCATTTGCCATGAAAAATACAATTTTTAGTCCACAATAGGAGCAGTGTTTAAAACCGATCATATAATGTGTTATATTCAAGGAAACAAGAAATGTAACCTCTAAGGATTCATTCTGAGAAAAGATTTC